AGTGGCTCAGTAGTCAACCAGCTTGATTTCGTAGCCTGAAGATCCCAGGTTTTATTAGTGGAGGGATAGTGGATGTACACTGCTGAAGAGTCCCAAACAATAAGAGAAAATAGCTGCTCATTACTCCCTGGTTTTCAGTGACCTCTGAAACTGATGTTGGTTGGTGATGAAATATGAAGAATGAAAGTAATAAGGCGCTAATAGCGTTATCACCTCCTAGATTGGGTTAATCGATAAACAGACTTTGATTTCTTAGATGATTCCGATTTTTACACCTTTCCAAACAGTCTAATATAGGTGATTTTTCAATATACTGCGATGACCGTATCACTCTTTTTTGTTGTTATTCAAATTTTGCTCTCTCAGAAAACCATTTAACATTCATTATGGATAAGATTTTATTTTGATAAATCATACACTATTGTACAGTAATATTAACTGATAATATTAATATTAGATATGATAGAGAAGATTTGTAGCTCAGGTGGATAATTTTGATGTGGTTTTGTTCTCTGAGCTGGATAGTTAGTTTGCAAACTAACTATCCAGCTCAGAGAACAAAACCACATCAAAATATTAATATTACTGTACAACACTATGTGACTCATCAAAATAAAATCTTATCCATAATGGAGTTATGCTCTACCACAGCGCCCAAGTTTTATGCTTAATATCATTTAACATTCGTTGAAGTATTATAGTGTTAGATGCGTTTACATATATTTTTCTACAGGCATGCAAAGTTCACAGTTTAAGTGTACTATGTGTTAGAATATTTAGGCTAAATGCTACTGACGTTTAAAATGCCAATGCAATTTAAAACAATTTGTTCTATGCCACCACTGTTTTGAGCGTTCAAAATCAATCTTAGGCAACGCTACTAAGTTAAAGTAGGCATATTTCTGCGCAATGAGCAGGGAAATATTGTTTAAAAAGAAGTTAGATTCTATTGTCCATCTGGCTTTACATTATGGAGAGCTGAATCATTTAGGTGTGACTTACATGGGAAGAAAAACTGCTACTTCTACTAATAATGCTACTGTAACTACTACTCTACTACTGCTACTACACTACGGATAGTAAGTACTACCACTACCTAGAACTGTGTTTTGTTTTATATAACATACTTAAGTGTTAAGTTTAGCTATCCTTTAGGTAAAAACTTAAGTTTCAAACGTATTTGTGTGTATTTGTGCTACAGATGAATGTTAAAACACGTGGGACATAATCTACTGTTTTAAATTCTTTTCTCTTACACAGAGGATTATGGTGTATAAATTAGCCATTAACCATTTAGTAATAATGTGATTATGATATCAAATGATGAGATAATATACCTATCAATAGTAATAGCAGTTGTAGTACTTAGTCAGAGCACAACCTTTGAATATTACGATGTATGACTGTAATTAAACTTCTTTGTCTGCACCACTCCTGACTATATCTCTTATTGAGGCTAAGCGAAAAAAGAGAAGAAGAACCTGTGGAATAAAAACTTATAGCTTAATCAATACAATACAATCAAAAGAAAATAAAAATAACTGTTTAAAGAGGATTTTGCTAAAGACAGCATTATTTGGTGGAAGAGTGGTATACAGTCTTTAAAACAAATTGCCAATGGCAACAGTCATTGAAGAATTTTATGAAAGATGTTGTATTGTGAAAAGATACGTTTAATACATGCGCAAATAATAACTGGAAAGTTTAATTTTCACTATTCTTCACCCGCTTTATATCATTAGAACACATTATCACTGTTTTCAATTTTTAATTATGATTAAAGCCACTTTAAAATATATAATGGGAATATACCAACAAGAATTTTCGGAACAAGCACTCTTATTTCCAAAAAAATGTAAATTTACTTAAACACACGCACACACACCTTTTAGCCACTGTATAAGTCAATCGAATGAAATGCGGGCATATTTAATTTTTAGGCATTTGTAAAGCTGATATCTTTTTTTATTCGTTTAAGCCCATTTATGCAATTTAAAAAGCTATGATTAAACCACCTGTTTTCAAATTGCTTCTTACCTTAACTTACACTTTAGTATTAACTGTTTTAATGAATGATATGCTGCTGAATATATTTAGAGTGTTTGTTGTATTTTCACGTATATAAATGACAACATGAAAGCTATTTACTTTTATTACCTGAACCAGCATCTCTTCAGTTGGGACTATGAAAGAGGAAAAGATAGTAAGTCCTGGCTAAAAGCTAGCTAAGAATAGATATACTCCTTTCTGAGTTGAAGTCTGAATACTTGAAGAAAACAGGAGTGCCTCATTTATCAGTATCTTTGTGGTCATTTATTAAGATGTTTGTCGTGCTTCACTATGTGAACTTATCTCTCCATCTCCTGTAGAGAAAAACAAACACACACACACTAACACGTACTAAGTTTATCACATAACAGTGAAGTGTTTTGTTTTGGTGTTCAGATACATCTTTTTAATTATTTCATTCACCTTATTTACAGGCTCTGATTTTGTGTTGAAAACTGTATTGGAACTCTGGTTAATTTTCTTACTGATCAGTCAAGTGTATATACATACAATTCGTACTTTACAATTGGTGTTTAGTCAGATATCACTTGAATATTCATGAAGCAGCTGATGAGATATCACCAGTGTGGCGAACTGGTCCGTCAGCTGGTGGCTAGCTAGAGAAATCATACACTTCTAAATTATGGTGAAATTAGCAGGGTTGGAGACGTGTATTTAATTTTTTTCCCTATCCTTGTAGACACGATGATGCACCTCGTGAAATCTTGATCCTTATTGATTTCCTATTAGTGCATCTGGTCAAACCGACTGTTTCTTAAGTTATTTCACATATGTATATCTTTTGAATTGTTTATCTGTGGAAAGTCTTTAAACACAGTTATTGCTTTTCAGCTAGTGAATACTCTTTCAACTAACAGTAACACTATGTTTCAAACTAACTTGATCACTATTACTTTTTTCTGATGTGTAGTCATGTTAAAATAGGTATTTAGATGTTCACCACTTTGGAGTTTTGATAGCAGTGTACGTAATATGTTTCCATTGTGTTCATTCGTAGATAAATTGGTAAATAATATAGTACCACTGTATGGGTTTTTACCAAATAAAATTATTTTTATGATCGAAGTATACTATACCATACTGCCCAAATTCTACGCTTATATCAGTGAATAAAGCAGATGTTCAGACTTGACTTTAGTTACTGATATGAATATGAAGTTCACGGCGTTGGTCGTGCGCATAGTCTCGGTTTGGTTCTAGGCCGACAAACTTTTTAACCTCACATAGTTCACTAGCTGGTGGTTAGCCAAGAAAAGAGGAAAGGTAAAAAAGAAAAACCACCACTACCAAAACTTCAGTGCTTGATGGTTTTTGTTTCCCTTAGCACTCGTCCTTTAGGTCAGTTTTTAATGAAATGAGATGATTTTAGTTATTTATCTTTCACTTGATTAAAGTGTATCAGGATATGTGTTGATGTCGGGCGGTCTAGTAATGACTAATTTTAAACTATGCCAACTCACACAAAATATTTAAAAGGTCTGCACGAAGACAACTGTTCTGGTCACTTGTTAACCTTCAACTAACTAGTAAAACTTTGAGTTTCCCGATATTTTGTTTAGATAAGATTCTGGATATTTCTTCAGACTGAAAAGCCATTGTGTGTATAGGGAGGGGGTAGTCAGAAAAGTAAACTCTAAGGTTCTTGATGCGTTCAAAAAATCTCTCTCTATCTGCCTCAATGATTATTACAGATTCATCACTAATTGTGACTAACTGAATTCTGAAAATTAGCTAATGTACGAATCAATCGTCAAGTGAAATTCGGTGATAATCTTTTATCACTTGGAGGTTCATGAGATTCTAGTTTGCATCTATTAATCGAATGAATATAAAATAAAATATACTTTTCTATATTCTTAAACGCGAAAATACATTAGATCAACTCGCCTTATTTGCACACTGTGGAGAAAGTGGTGATGAATGAAAAAAAGAAGTAGAATCATTAAAGAAAAAATGACTGAGAAAAACTTGATGAGTTGGTCAGGGTTAAGAAAATAATAGAAAATAAAGAAATCTGTGGTAGTGCTATCAACTGTGGAAAATGTCACTAAAGGCAACAAATTGCCGATGCCTGAAATTGCTTAAACTTTAACAAGGAAATATATTTTTTCGCTACCTATACAAACATCCAAGTTTCTATTTATCAGTAGTTTTAAATAAAAAGTGAATGTAGATACTTACTAGCTTGGGATCGTTCATCAGTACTCACCCAACAGGACCGAAACCAAGGAACTTCCAGTTGCAAGGCAAGTTCTTAGAGCACTCAGCCACTGGGACCCGACCCAATGGCCCATGCATTTCAACTTCTATCAAGTCATGATTTTACCGGGGTCACTGATGGAGAGCTCCGAATTAGAACGAAACAGCTGTCCAGTAGTCCCTGGTTTCCAGTGGTTCTCTACCTGATTAAACTAGAAACAAATCAAATCCTTACACAGTAACCTTTGAAAATTAGCCTGGTGCTCTATAGTTGCCCGAAGTTCTAATGAGAAGTCGTGACTAGCTGGGTCCACCTGGTCGACTGTGGGGTTTAATACTCTTCAGTGGCACTGTCTGGTGGTTGCGATAAAATCGTGAACTGCTAAAATTTAGAATTCATGGGTCACTGAAGTGCGTCCCGGTGGCTAGATGACCTATGAGCTTGTCTTGAAAGAGTTAGGTCTTGGGGTCGAACCCAGACCGGTGCGTACTGCTGAATACGCATTGTTCTCCCCTGAAGTACAGCGGACATGTTTGATAAAGGGTCAATAATTTTCGAATCATGGAAAAACCTGAATATTAACAAGAAGGAAAATTAGATTTCACATTACGAGATAACTGTTATCATATATCCAGGATTCAAAGTTAAATTAATACATTATTTCTATTTGATAATCAATGTTTGTTACTTCCTTTTACTATACTGTACGTTTTCTTTTATTATTGAAAAGACATGGATGGTTATTTATCCTGAAGGCACTCGATACAACCCTCTAAAGTATGATGTAATTAAACAATCTCAAGAATTCGCTGTTCAAAAAGGTAAGTGGGAACTACGAAAAACTGTTAAAAAAACACACAATTGTTTAAGTAATTTTATAAGGACCCTGTTAGCTGGACAAAAATCTTATAGGTGCAATAATTTATTTTCAAAATACACATTTTTACGATGAAATTTCCCCTGTTTCATTGAGAAGCTTTAAATATCGAGATTACACTATGTGATTTCACCATGGACACTTTTGATTCATTTGAACAATTGGGAGGATTACACTATTTATTAGTGATACCTTATCAAGTTGTTGATAGTGAACTTAGTCAGTAGTTTATTCAGACAGTCACTATTAAGAAGTCTAAGTCTGTTCAAGTTACTTGAGTTTTAAGCTGCTTGGCTTGTGATTATGAAAAATTTCAGAGATGTTTTGTTCAACACTTGACGGTACACCTAATAAAATTGATTTCTATGAAGTGAAATATTTTCATTTTGAAAACTTTCGTTATTGCCTTAAACGGTACAGAAACTATTCTGACTACTAAATAAGGTGTAGTTTGTGTGGGGTAGGATGATAAAATAACATAAATTGCTTGCGGGAGATATTTTTATCTTTCACAAAAATATTGAAAACAAATTATTATTATTATTATTATTAAACCACAGGTGAAGAAATTTTCTTTTGGTTTATGGCTTTTCAGAATTGGAATGATGTCTGTGTAACAGTTATAAGTGAAAAGACTAATGCTTTATTTTTAGAAGACTATCAACATAAATAAATGTTGGTTAAAGTTAAATCACAAGTTTAAATTACAACGTATAATGTGTTGATCCTATATATTGAAAAAAACTGAAAAAAACACAGTTTATTGATTTTGCTGCTAAATACGACATCTGAAATTCGTAAGAAAATTTTTTTATTACTTCTAGGAAAGAAGACATAAAAAATACACTCGAGGTTTTTCAGCCATAAATGCCTCAAATCATGTGCCTAAGTTAGCTATAGCAGCATTATGTGTAAAGGTGCAGTTTAGCTTAAAATGTGGCGTAAGCAAAGAACGCAGATCAGTAAAGTCACTAGTTTCGTCAATGAATTTGACCATGGCATGTGTTACCCAGATACGATCTTCCATATAATGAAATGTCAGCTAGAACAGAACTAGGTTGGTAACGACTAAGCGACAGTTCGAGTGAAACATGATTTCAATGCACCAAGTTATTGACTGCTCGTGTTAATCACATATGTAGGTGTTGACTGCTTGCTTTAAATTCTCAGAAGTCAACAAGAGTCAATGATTGAAGACTATTAGTGTGATATGGTTCAATACTGTAGGCAATTGGCGCAGACAGGCGTATTCACTTCTTGTTCACATTAAAATACTGAAAATCATCACCGATTTTAATCTTTTTATACTCTAACCGGTGAATTTTCAGCCACTATAATCTCACTGCATTTATTTGTTTGATTCTCAGAAGTTTGGCGAATTGGGTGGATAATTCTTGCTGGAAAACTATTTGTTAATAAGTCAGTCAGCAGCCGTTTTACACAGTTTATTGTTGATTTGGTTTATGTTTAAAACTGTTATTTTGGAAAGTTTCAGTGCTTTACTTCGTGAAAAAAGAGTTACTATTACTAAGCCTGACAAAGGAATTGTCACATTAAGATAAAGTTTAGAGAGAAGCGACCTTGTGTGTTGCTCACCCACATAATTTATAAATCCCATAAGAATACAGCACTTTGGTACAACTATGAAATTTTAAGCGTGTGATATCGGTAGCGCAAATTTAGCAGGCCGACTATTGACGTCAGGTGTCCGGCAACAGAGGATCCAACCTCGGACCATGTGCATGGTCTGAGAGAGTCCTAACCTCTGTACCACCGACAGACGTCGATATATACATATATATAAATACATATAGAAAGAGAGAGAGACTGGAAGTAAGCGACGTGTCGCCAAGTTATTCAATAGACAGGATTATTGAGTGACCTAGTATTTGGATACATTCATTTTAATGTATCTGAGTGGCCTAGAAACATGTCGTTTGCGGTTAATCTAAAGTTACGAAGTCCTAGACACCTTTGAACTGGATAGTAGTCACTTGAAGATGATTCATAGATCAGCGACACCAAATAGTTTGGCTTTGTCATACATGGATTGTTTTCCTACCATTTTTAATATCGTTTATGTCACTGTAGGTGGGTATTCGGTAGTGGGTTTTGTAGAACTGTCAACCTGTCAGACCTTCCTCACGGTGTAATCACCTTTCCAATGTGACTAATAGAACCACCCTCCTGTTTGGAATCCAGGTTTAAATAGGTAACATGATAAAAGTAATTTAGTTAATACAGATTTTGGGACGACGAAATCGTCTCATCTAGACTGCTGTGTTTTCCTATCACATTTCAAGATTTTACAAAAAATATGAACAGTTTCCTAACTACTCACAATAGTCTGACAACTTCAGTCACACACTGTATCCTCATACATATAGTAGTGGCTTGAAGCGAAATTTGTACCAGATGTTTCTTTCTGTTGACAACATGTTAGCCGGATGTGCTCACATGAAAGAAAGTGTCGAAATGCAGCTGAAGGAAATTCCTAATGGAAAACGCACATATATACTGTGGATTCAAATGCTTGGTAATATTAAATGTGCAATGAAATACCAATGCGTTTGTACAAGAAGATTGTATACGGAGATGTACATTGAGCTTTGGGAGACAACAGCATGAAATATAAAGAAACGCCTTTTCTTATCACTCTTCTATTTATTTATTTATTTACATGCATTTGGAATTTATTGTTAGTTATTTTAATGTGAAGTGAGTAAACTTGTAAATAAAGTACTACATGCTCAGTAAAAAAGGCGCAATTTCTATAGTAGTTTTGCAAAGTTACAAACATTTCCCGACCCACAAATATTCTCTGTAAATTTACTTCTAACACAACGAGCACATTAACACTAACTAAGCATAATGATGAGCACTAACCAATATTGAGGTGAAAATACAAATTTCTGATTAAGTTAGCCAATGTGTTGACCAATGAAAGCAAATCGTCCGACTGTTAATTTTTAGACAGAAATTTTCCCTAAAGTTAATCAACTTACTGGTGAATGAGTAATAAGATTTTCACTCACACACTGTACGTGAACAATGTGAAGTTTCATTCCCATGAATAGGGAAGGATGTAATTCGATATAAACTATAATACTGCTTGCTTTAAAATCACTTGCTTTCTCCATGAGTTTCTTGAGGCTTTCAAATACGATTTTCATTGAGTGGTGGTGATAAGTAAAACCCAAGGGGAAACAGGAGGTTATCATACTCTGACTAACTCCTAATGTCTAATACTCAACAAACGCAGTTGACTTTAGATCAAAGCTGAAGTCTTGGGAGAGGGAGGAAGGGTTGGTTACCTTTCGCTCTTTCACAACACTCTTCTGTTCTGTTCTGTTCTGTTACACTTTAAAACTATTTTCCTCTCGATTATGTTCAAGGCTTGTTTCTCTGTGTTGCTTTATTCATTCAAAATAACTACAAGCATTCAGTGATCAATTTCAAATAATATTAAGTTGTATCACTAATTTATTTCTGCTTAGCTATGGATATGAACCACGTTCACCTTACTGAACAGTTGTCTTTCATTCGAAAAAAAACTTCGATTAGTGTTTCCCACTGAGTTCATTTAGAAGTAAAACTGGGTGAACTATGAATGCATTTGTATTTTCTAGGTAAACATAAACTGCATTATTTAATCAGTCAATGTTTATTTATTTTTTTTATTGTGATCACTTTTCGGCTTTTGACTGTTGTTGTCATGAAAATATTTCAAAGAAAAAGGTGATGACTACTCAAGTTTTAACCAGGGTGGACGATGGAAGAGGTGTAAAGATTAGAAAGACGGTGGAGGTCATGACCTGTCTAGAAATAGTTGTCAATGCTATTCAACGCATGAGTGAATTCAAATAATTCTTTCTATTGAACTTACTTAATCAGTTGAAAAGTTGACTGAGTCGATTTTGACTATTTCACTTACTTAATACATAACTGCAGTACACTTATTCGGTTGACCTTATACGCTGACTAACACTGACACCTACTTTCGGACAAGTCATCACTAACACCGTCTTTTAATCTCTACTGCCCAGCCACACTCGACCCTAATTAAAATTTGAGTATTCATCACATTTTTTGAATACTTTCATGACATAAGCAACAAGCCTAATTACTTTTTATTTTTTTATTTTTGACAAACATAATGTGCACATAATGTACACCGTAAAGAGAATGAATTCGTCAAAAAGAAACTAATCACTCCTTTCATGTCTTAAATAGAATCAGAATGTATGTATGCTGTTTAGATTTCAACGAGTTTGCTAAACTGCACAAACAAACACTTATCAAACACTTTATTCTCGTATAAAAATATATTGGAAATTAAAATGACTCTGTATTATCATATTTTTCTGCATAGGTGTATTAATTCAAATCATAATGACAGTCACCAACATAATAATCCAGAATTGTGAGCTGACCTAGAATATTAGCCATTACCAGTATCCGTGGTTTTTAAATACTATCGACTTTTTCAGATAAATGAAATTACAGTTGAAGCAGTATTGTTCATTTTCATAGTAAGCATAGAAATGCAGTATTAATAAATAGGATATCGAAAAAAATTAAGGCAATGTCTACAAGAGATTAGCATCTTTAAAGCCTAGAGGGCGAAAGTAACGAAAGCGTCTTAACCAACTTCTTCTTTTGGATATATTACATACATAAGTTAGGCTGCTCAATGTAGATTTCAACAGTCTCATCAATATGTTGTAGATGAACTCTTAAGGTGAAGTTAAGATTAGTTGGTATGCGTCAGATGACAATTTAGGCCTTCTTCACAACAATTCTGTGTTCTGTATCTACGAGATGTTACAGTATAGAATTATGAATAGACTTAGTTTGTCTCTTACTAAACACGCAGGATGGTGTTCGGAAATCCGACGAGAAACACGCCTAACTGTACAGTCGACATAATATTTGAAATATTTT